CTCAGAATGAAGATAAACAACCCAATCAGCAATCAGGATTTGGAAGACTTGTTCAAAACCTAAACTCAGATCAGTACCAACAACTCATGTCTATGTTGTCCACTCATTTGGCATCAACTTTAGGTAGGGCTGATCAACATGTTAATCCTATCAATTCTACCACATCATATACTACAGGTATATGTTCCTCTGTGTCTACACAACCTGTTTTATCATCCAAAAATATTTGGATAGTAGACTCAGGTGCTACCAAAGATATATGCTCCAATGCTACTGCCTTTTATGACATTGAGAACCATTGACAATTCCATTGCTACGTTACCAACTCACACACGAATTCTAGTGAGATTATGTGGTGATATTATATTAAATTCCAACCTTGTGCTTCAAAATGTTCTGTTTGTCCCACAATTCAAGTACAACTTGTTGTCTGTTAGTGCATTAACATATGATTCGTAGCTCACAATCAGTTTTTTTCTGATCACTTCATCATTTAGGAAACATCCACCAAGAAGATGACTGGCAGAGGTGATCGAGTGCAAGATTTGTATGTGCTAGATAAGAATGTTTTGAATTCAGTGTCAAATGCTTATGTAAATCATGTTTCTGTTTAGGTTTGACATAAAAAACTTGGACTCATTTCCTTTAAAATGCTAGATAGCTTGAAAACTCAGTTGTCGTATGATGTTACCAATTTCAATAAGAACATTCCTTGTTATATTTGTTTTTTAGATAAACAAAGATGGTTATCTTTTGATTCAAATAATCATCTTTCAGATTCTCCATTTGATCTTATAAATTACGATATTTGGGGTCCTTATCATGTTCCATCTCACAATGAACATAGATATTTTTTAAACTTGGTGGATGTTCACTCTAGATTTACATGGATTTACTTATTGAGGAACAAATCTGATGCAATCAATATTATCCCAATTTTTTTTTAATATGATAGCAACTTAGTTTGATGCTAAAATTAAGGTTTTTAGATCAGATAATGCTCCAGAGCTAGCTTTTACTAACTACTTTGTTGAGAATGGAGTATTACATCAGTTTAGTTGTATTGAGAGACCACAATAAAACTCAGTTGTGGAACGTAAGCATCAGTACCTTTTAAATGTAGCAAGAGCTTTGTATTTTTAATCTCGCGTTCCAATCAAATTTTGGACAAAATGCATCTTGACGACTATGTTCCTAATCAATAGGATTTCTTCTCCTCTATTGAAACACAAGACACCGTATAAAGTCTTATACCATAAAGCTGCAGATTACTCATATTTCAGAGTGTTTGGATGTTTAGCTTTTACATCTACATTGATTTCTCATAGAAGTAAATTCCAGCCTCGAGCAAAGATGTGTGTATTTTTGGGATATCCAGTTGGAGTCAAATGTTACAAATTATATGATGTTGTTACAAAGAAAATATTTATACCAAGGGATGTTATTTTTCATGAAAATATTTATCTCTTTCATACAGTGATTGAATCAGATGACCTTATGAATCCATTCCTTGATTTGGTTTTACCTATATCTACATTAACTGCTCAACAAGAGATTTCTACTTCTACCCCTGAGCACACATCTACTTCTTTCCCTTCTGTTGAAGTTCGTCAACCTATTGATGATATACCGGATGGATATACACATGATCATTATGGTGATCATCATGTAGACTTCACACCAATTGTAAACAATCGAAGATCACAACGTATTGTTAAACCCACAACTTACCTTAAGGATTTTCATTGCAACTTGATCAATGTTAATCCCAGTTATTCCACTCAATCACCTTATCACATAGGAAAATTCATATCCTATGAAAATTTATCATCTTTATACAAGAACCTGGTCTTGAATGTATAATCTCAGTATGAACCACAGTTCTTTCATCAAGTAGTTAAATACCCATAATGGCATGAAGCTATGAAGTTGGAGTTGGATGCAATGGAATTTAACAACACTTGGTTTGTTGTGCCGTTACCATAAGGAAAGTATTCTGTGGGATCTCGTTGGATATATAAAATCAAATACAGATCAGATGGTTCAATTAACGTCTTGTAGCAAAAGGCTACACATAATAAAAAGGATTGGACTACTTTGATACCTTTTCTCCAGTGGCGAAACTAGTTACTGTTAAAGTTTTGCAAGCACTTACTGCTAGTCAAAATTGGTGCTTAACTCAGCTAGATGTTAACAACACTTTTTTGAATGGTGATTTACTTGAGGAGGTATACATGGATCTTCCTCTTATATATAAAGTCCACAGTAAGCACAAACAGGGTAGAACTTAGTATGTAAGTTGCACAAGTCTATATATGGACTCAAGCAAGTATCAAGACATTGGAATTATAAATTTTCCCAGGCACTCTTACAGTTTGGATTCACTCAATCTAAGGTAGATTACTCATTGTTTACAAAAGGTTCTGGAGAAAACTTTGTGGTGATGCTGGTGTATGTAAATGTTATAGTCATAACTGGTCCAAATGTGCAGGCTATTGAAGTTTTGAAGTCCAAATGTGCAGGCTATTGAAGTTTTGAAGATATTCTTATATTCCAAATTCAAGTTAAAGGATCTGAGATCCTTCAAATATTTTTTGGGAATTGAGATTGCTCGTTCCACCTCTGATATTGTAATATCTCAAAGACATTATGCCTTGCAGCTTCTTGAAGATACTGGTACTTGGACTGTAAACCTGTGAATACTCCTATGGATCCAAAGGTATCTCTCAGTATACATCAATGGGACATTTTACCTGATGCTTCTCACTATAGAGGATTGCTTGGTCAACTGGTTTATTTGACAATCTCATGCCCAGACATCACTTATGTCGTTCACAAGTTGAATCAATTTTTATCACAACCCAGTTTGCCTAACCTTAAAGTAGTGCATCATCTTTTTAGATACCTGAAGAATAGTCCTGGTCAAGGTCTTTTCTTTTTAGCTTCATCTTCCTCAACTTGAAAAACAATTCCGGTTTCTCCACCAGCTATTAAACTTCAAGCCTTTTCTGGTGCAGATTGGGGATCATGTGTAGACACAAGAAGATCCACAATAGGTTTTTGCATCTTCATTGGCAATTCCTTGATCTCTTGGAAAGCTATGAGACAAGCTACAGTTTCGCGTATCAACAGAAGCAGAATATAGAGCAATCGTTGTCACCATTAGCGAAGTTCTCTGGATCAATCAGATATTAAAAGATTTCCAAATCCAAGTATCATCTCTTGTCGTTCTTTTCTGTGATAATCAGGCAGCCATAAAAATTGCTTCCAATCCTCTTTTTCATGAGAGAACTAAACATATAGAAATTGATTGTCACTTTAATCGTGATAAAGTTGATGTTGGTCTTATAAAGCTTCTTCCAATTCTATCTCAACATCAACTAGCCGATATATTCACTAAGCCTCTTCATGCCTCTGTTCTTCTTCCAGTACATCTTGAGGGGGAGTGCTAAGACTTTGTATAGTTAGCTGAATTTGTATATAGTTAGTTAGTTGTATAAAGTTAGTTAGTTTTGTTAGTTTGTTGATCTGTTTGGTAGCTGTATCCAGCTGGCTTTCCATTGTAATCTATATATATCACATGCACATGTAAATGTTGATAGATTGAATAACAATTCTTCCTTCCTTTTCCTCTAGATTCTTCTCATCTATGTTCTTATTTCTTTCTCAACTATGTTCGTAACAACAACGATGTTGGTGGATTGGAGGTGGTGGAGTTCGTGGGTTGTAGGGAAGGGTAGATTTCATCGTTGACGATGGGTGAATCTAGTTGTTTGGGTGACAGTTCTGTGCATTGAGGTGGGGATAATTGAAGGCGGCTCTAAAAGAGAGAGAATTGGGAGACAGGTGAGTTGAGGTCATGGGAAGGGAAGGGGAGAGTTATGCTAAATATACAAGATTTTTAATTAAATTAAAATATAATTATTATTACCTAATTTTTGAGCTTGAAGCTTAAAAGGTATGGAACTAGGAAAATTTCCCTTAATTCTTTCATTGAGGCTTTGCAAATTGGGTTTCTGGCAACATTTGCAGCCCATATGTAGAAGGCCCAGTTTTATAGACGGTATACATTGCATATTGGGAGCCGGGGTGGGGGGTGGGGGTGGGGGCGATGAAGCTCAATTTGTGACACTATCCTTACATTATTTTGATTAAAAAAAAAATCATTAATTGTGCTTTAACAAAAACTTAGTTTCTTTTTATTCATTTATACGGTTGATTTCATTCTATCAATTAAGCCATAAATATCTTTTAAAAAAAAAAACTTTAAATGTCACTAAATTACTAAGCCCATATTTGGTGTATATTAAAATCAAAATTTTGGTAGATTTTGAAATAAGTTGATGGAATGTGCGGTTGAAAAGTTGTGAATTTTACAGAATGTATAATTAAAATTAATTATTGACTTTCGTTTTAAATTAAAATCAAATTTTAATCTATACCAAACACGGACTAAATTTTATCGTTATTAACGGGACTAGGCTTGTTCATCTCTTGAATACAGCCAATTGGGTCACTGCATAGTTAATTTGTAGAGTGACTTATAGAAAGAAAAAAAATTGTGCTTTAGTGACTTGAGCAGAGAGAGAGAGAGACAGACATTAAAATTATAAAGTAAAAGAAAGAAAATCTTACAAGCACTAACAATTTATTTTTATTTAGTAATTAATATTTATACACCACTCCATACATAGGCATAGTCTCATTCTATAGTGTACAGACTTCATACATAAAACACAACATTAGTTGTCACACTATCACACATTACATATATATTGCTACATGCATATATACATTCTTAATACCTATATAAATATTTAAAACATTTTTTTTTCAACACGAGACCCCAACGCAAGTTACGTGTGACATAAGAAAAAAACCAGATGTCACGAAATTGATCATAAAATACCGAGACCTCTCGTGCATGCACGCATTAACTCGACTTATCAATCACGTAACTCACAGCTGACGCTAGCATCCTGTTTCTCGGACTTCAATTCTTACAGGAACCATTGGAAACGAACATTGTTCCAATTATTCCTATGTTCCAAATCCATGTCTTCCACGAACTGAAAAGAGGTATCCTTTGCCGCTTCTGCCCACATGGAGGAGTCATCAATCTCGGGCAAATTCAAGTCGTTAGGCATTCCTTTCATACTCACAAACTCAATTTCATTAACATTCTGAGAGCTTTTCAGAGATGCCCCCTCTAATGGATACCCATATCTAGAAGCATCTGTGTTTTCATAGAAAATTGGTAGAGGGGAACATTTTGAAAAGGCAAAGACTGGATTGTTTTCTTGAATCTGCACATGGCTCCCAAGGTTGGATGAAACTGGGAACTGAGGGATCGGATTCTCTTCATACAAATGAGGCAAGTTCACCTTGGCATCCGGGCCGAAGAGTTTCCGGGCAGCAGCATCGTAAGCCAAAGCAGCCTCATAAGAATTATCAAAAGTGCCGAGCCAAACTCGCATACCTCCGTTGGGCTCCCGAATTTCGGCCACCCATTTGCCCCAAGTGCGTTGCCTCACGCCTTTGAAGGTGCATAGGGCATTTTCAGGGCCACCTTTGCCTCTCATGCACCCTTTCCTCGAGCTAGCCTGAGCAGCTTTCCTGGCCTTTCCTTCTTCCAATGCCATCATAGATTTCATCATATATAAAATGTCCAGAAAATTTAAGTGATTCTGATAACCACATATGAATTGAGAGTCAAAATTTATAGGTAAAGATACAGTGGATAGGCTTGAATGAATAGAAAGACCCACTGTATACGTGTCTCCGGTTAGGAGCCTCCATTGCTACCTGGCAATATAAACTGGTTTTCCGTGTCTGTTTTTTCCACATATTTACTCAATGGCCAAGTGAGACAAATAGAGTGGGGTGTACAGCTAACCTAGCTGCTTCTCAAGAAGAGAGAGAACTATATACCTCGTGTGCATTTTGTACCTGACAAAGCCTTCTTTATGGATAAGTTCATCGAATTTTTCACAGCTATTTACCAAGATTCGCAAGAATTTGCAACAGAAGTTAACCTGTGTAATAAAAGAAAGATTTATACTAGGTGGGATTTGCATGAAGGTGGGGAAAATTGGAAGTTTGTTCAACATGAAATGCATTCAAGAATCTGTGACATCACATGTAATAAAAATTCTTGCTCATGGGATAGGAACGAAATAACTCACACTCATGATAGTCAAAAACCAGTGATCACTATACTACCAAAAGTTTCTAAGACCTTTCAAGTAGGTCCCATAATTTTCGAGAGTCCGAGGAAAATATGATCTACCGTCCGCTATAACTTTTGATAACTTGTACAAAACCACAATATAATGTTATAATAAATATTGCAAAAATGACATTTACTTAATGCAAAAATGATATTCTCAAGTAAATAATGCTTCACATTTCAAAAAATGGATAATTGCACTAGCGATACCAAACCTTTCATTTAGTAGCAGACTTTACCCAAACATTTCATTTGTGTCACCTACGGTACCAAACATTTCAAAATGTCGCAGCAGTAGTCAGAATGGATGGTTTCTGTTAATTTGACCGTTAGTTGACCAAATAATTGATTTTGACAATAATTTTGACTAATTTTAAAAGGTTAAAATTGTAACTTTACAACTTTTTTATAATAAAATAATTAAAATTAAAAACCAAAATCCATCTTCTTCTCCATCCACCCCACACATACCCACCCCCAGTTCATGATAATTGGCCGTCGTTTCTGGCATCTCCGTAGTCTCTTACACCTCCTTTTGCTTCCACCAATAATGGGCCCTTGTTTGCATTTTCCGCCACCACGAAGTTCATCAAAATGTCCTCACAATTGTTCATTTCATCCACAATGTGTCAGGTTTTGATGTATTTATCATCGCATGTGTATGTTTGGAGGTGGGTGCGGTCAATTATCATGAAATTGGTTAGTATGATCGCATATTTTTCTTTCTCCATAGTGTAGATCCATGATTTGGATTGCAAGTCATAAGCGTGGGATCTAGCAAAAAACCCAATTATGAGATTCGGGTTCGATTTCCAGGTGGTGAAGGAGAAGGAAATGGATTTCTGATTCGGTTAGATATCGTCATCGAAGATGAGGACAACCCATGTTTTGATAATATCACAGGGGTAGAATTGGTGGTTCAGGCTGGAGGAGGGCGGGGCTTAGGATGGTGGCGGGGAGGTTTTGTTTAGGGAGGAAAGGGTTTGCGGTGGAGTGGAGGAGTTGCACCAGAGGAGAATGACGGCGGCGATCGACGAGGAGGCAGAATATGCAGCGACGATTGATTGTATATGTGGGATGTGGTGTTCCCATTAGCTGTTGATGATGACGGTCAAATTGGGTTGCCGTATGTGAGGGGTGTATAGAGAAGACGTAGTTGGTTTTTAGTTTTTAATTTTAATTATTTGATTTTAGTTATTTTATTTTTAAAAAGTGTAAATTTACTATTTCAACCTTTTAAAATTAGTTAAAATTATTGTCAAAATCAATTATTTGGTCAACTAATTGTCAAACCAACAGAGACCATCCATTTGGATTTCAGTTGCGACATTTTGAAATGTTCAGTAAGGTGGGTGGCACAAATGAAAGGTTTGGCAAAATCTGCTACTAAATGAAATGTTTGATACCACTGCTGCAATTATCCATTTCAAAAATGAGTGTTTGAGCCACATTATTTTGAAAGAATGTATTATGGAATAGTAGATTGATGGAGAATATGTGGTTGAAAATGAAGGAAAATTTATTGATGTGATGAAAAATATTATTTTATTGAAAAATGTGTGATTGAAAATGAATAGAAGAATAAGAATGAAAAAAATAATGCGTACCAAACAGGGACTTGGTATGCATTGGTGGGACAACACGGTACAACACAGATAAAATTTTTAACTTATTTTTGAAAATGTGCTCAATCATTAATTCGTTGTCCAAACATAAAATCTTGCAAACATAAACGCTACAACATGAAATCAAATTCACAAAGAAACCACACAATTTTGACAAGTCATGTTCCAATAGAGGAACTAAATTGATTTTTGACCAATATGTTCACGTATGTTACAATCTAAACTTAGCTTTGAAAAAAATTGCAAACGATGTTTTTATTATTTATTAGTATTTGGATTTTTTTCCTACCTTTTATCAACAATATCCTTATCCTTGCATTTTTATTTAGATAGTTTTCATTATTTGGTATGCGCTCACCAAAAATGTATTATTTCGAATATATTTTCTAAGAGATAAAAATTGAGAACACTAAGAAGTAAAGGTATGAGACGACGACAATTTTCCCCATCTTTTACTTTTAGGAAACACGAAATATATTAAAGTAAAAATAATTTATTTGCAAATGTTTTGAAGTGAAAAACGATTAATTTAAAAATACGTCTTTAAAAAGTATGGAAAATTTGTTGGTGCACATAGATAATGATTTTCTTGAGAGAACGTGCTGTTGAAAATAAGTTTGATGAAAAATGATTTTCAAATAAGCTACACCAAACAAATGCTAAAACTTAACTCGAACTTGATTGTCTGTAGCCTAGTTAACGTATATACAAAATCACAAAACATAATTTAAATAAATAAAAATAAAATTAATGAACAATTAACGGAAAAAAAAAATTGTTTAATGACACACATCCCATCATATCTGGTCGTGTCCTGTTGAGTTTTCCCATGTTTAAAATCAACATAATTTAACACTGCAGTTTTTTCCGAGGTCCGACAAATTTCTCAGTGCAGTTAAAGATGGCAATAAATTGCCAGAATTGAGTGCAGAAGAGCCATAAAAACCACCATTCTTCCAACCACCAACATGTTCTTAACTATGCCATTGCATTTAACAAAAACACCTGTGCTGTTGAGAAGGACAAAATCATAACAGCA